AGCTAGTTACGCAATATTTCTTTAAATATATCATAAAACAACCATTGAAATAGCTCTTAGTGGTAAAATATAATAATTTTGCATTTTTATTATTATTGACACCTGGGATTTTAATTTTAACAAGTAAAAACTGAAATGTTAAAAAAATAAGTATCAAAATAAATGTATTTACAAAATAATGATGTTAAAAAAAAGGCCTCTCAATTTGTCTTGAAGAATGCCTTATTATTTGTTTATTGTTCGAAATTTATGCAGAGGGCGGGCAGTTCATAATTAATTGTTTTTGTTTTTGCCTGAGAGGATATCCCAAATTTATTATTTTTGCTGTTCTTTTTCAATTTCGACTGAAAAATATTATGATTTATCAGCCGTAATATTTAAACAATTATTGTTTCATATTATTCTTTTCACTTTTCGAAATTAAAAATTATGTCTCTTCAGTCTCCACCATTAATATTTACATCAATATTTGTTTTATCGCAAGTTGTAAGTTTTTATAAAATTGGTCTATTTTTGTCATTACATTTTGTATCATTATTACTATACTTTCCATAACTGTGTTATTTGAATTATTTTTACATTCACATCAAAATTAAGTTAGGAATATATATCTTTATTTTATACCAATCAAACCAACTAACTATTTTGTTGAAGGCCATCTCTCGCCTACCACATGTCAACCTCACTGGTAACCTTCTAAGGAATAATAATAAGACTGAATTACACCTTTCCGATTTGGTACAAGTTTTGACAATTCAACAAAAAGAATCAAGCTGAACTACATATTACTTATTGATCGACCTACACCAAATATGAGCCAATCTTGAAAAACACCCACAGACGCAAAGCAACGAGGATGTTTTTTGACAATACGCCGTATTTTTAGAATGTCGGAGAGTCATTGGAATATTGTTGGAAGCCTTGTTGGGAGTTCATCTCTATAAGTAAAGATCACCGTATCCCATGTAAGGTACTCTGAATTTCGGTTCATCTCTTCAAGCTTCTCAGATTTCGAGCTTGATCAATTTCACTATCAAACATATTTTATTATTTTTATATTTTAGAAAATCGAATTCGACCAACCAAACTGACTTGATTATGCTAATCTTTTTACTTTTCTTTTCAATAGCTTGAACGATAAGGATGGTTGTCTTTTAGTTAATTTTATGATTATGTTTTAAAAATAATTCCTTACCCATTTTTGCTTTGAATTATTAAATCAGTAAACTTCTCACAATAAATATTTGCGTCCACTTTTCTTTTCTTCTTTTTCAATTATTCTATGTATTGGCCATGTGTACTTCAGATCTCGACATTTAATTTTCATACAAAATAGTAAGACTTGAAATAATTTTTTAATATTTTGAAAAAGTAATTACAAATAGAACATATTTTAAAATATGAATTACATATTAATTTTTCTGATTCAGAAATATAGAGTCCAGATCATTAATCTTTGTTACGACAATGTGTGCTTTATCTACTGAATTTTGCTCAGAATGATGATTAATTAGATAAATATTTATAATTATCTTTCTTCTTCTTTTTTTTTTTTTTTGAAAA